TTGGTGCAAAAATATGGAAGGAGTCTGTTCTCGTCTCCATTTGTCTTCTGCCGAATCGCAGACCCTGGCGCAGGATCGGGAATGTTGTCGGCTCTGTCTGACGTGTCTACCTCCGCGACCCGAAAGGAGCAGCGGTGATGGAAGATGATAATGATGATGGTGATGATGATCAAGAGGCTACAATTCTCGGCACAGCGGTCAATGCTCAGACCACACGCGATTGGCGATTGTGCTAACTAAAATGGAAATAATTGCAATGCCAGACGTCCTCCGTTCCAAGTGATGATGGAAAATGACAGGTTCAGTCTGCTGATTTTCTTGATCTTAGTTGTTGATATGGCCGAAGGTTGTCATTTACTCCATTTCAGTTGCAATTCATCGGACATTATCCTCTCCGCTGTTGATCTCGTCAAAAATCGCATCCTTTATTTTAAGGCGGATGGCACAACATAAAACATTTTTCACCGTATTTTCTACATGGATTAACCCGTAGGGTGACCTTCCATCTTTTCTTCCGGATTTGTGGTGAGATTCGCCTTTTCCAAGACGGAACCTTTGTAAAAGGTATATGAAGATCGACTTGAAGATCGAGAGCTTAGTCTTCAGACTCAGCTCTCTTTCAGTCACAAAGGTTTAGGCTAGTTCACGCTGAACGCCACTGGCGGTCCAATCTGCCGGTCGATCTCTTCCTTACCTTTTCCATCATGAGTAAACACGACCCCGAAGTACTTGAAATTTTCCATCTGCTCTACTGCTTTTGCATTTATCTGAAAAGAAGAACTGGCAAAAGAACAAGAAAGCACTATGCTTTTCATTTTAGATACGTTTACACGTATGCTGGCCACACGTCGTATTCGGTTGTGAAACTTTCCAGAAAGCGTTTTAGATCAGTTTCAGAAGATGCCGACAAAACACGGTCATCTGCAAATTATAACCTACTCCCCGACATCTCCTGCGCTGATACGCTCGTTGCCCTGTCTGCGCCTGACTGTTCTATCCATGTACAACGCAAACAGGAGAAGGAACAAAACGCATCATTGGCAATGACCAGTGAGAACGCTGAAACGTCTCGACTTAATGCCATTTACTCTGGCGCAGTACCTGTTATCAGCATACGGTGACTGAATGGCCATTAGCAATTGGCCACCGATCCCATATGTTCACAGACACGCCCATAGGTTGTTGGGCGGGATCCGATGATGGGTTTATTTTAGTTACACAAAGCACATATTAACCTGATGAGCAAACTTCAACGGTTTCTCTGCAACCTGGCCTAAGGCGAATATCTGGTCAGATGTTCTTCAGCCAAACCTGAAGCAGCACTATACTTTTTGTATTTTAGAGTAAGTTATTCTGCCGCATCTCCTTTCTAACACCCTTGCTTAGACTTTTCCCAGGAGGCTCAATAAGGTAATGCCATATTAATGGGAGCACTCCCTGCAGTCTCCATTCTTGAGCATGGGTACTACAACTTCCGTTTTCCAGTCCGCTGGCGTCTTCTTTGTTTAGAGTGCAGTTTGACAGACACGTGTGTGCGAACACTGTCTTGTTCGCCTAATGCTTTAAGCATTTCAGGGATAATTTCATTGATTGCAGCAACCTTTTCATTTTTCATGCTTTTTACAGCTTATGTGATTTCATCTACACGGAAAGAGTACTACCCGTTCCTTGCTGCTCTCCAGGCGAGTCTTCCTGCGATTGCTCGTGTTAAGGAGTTCCTCAAGGTAGTCTCTCTATCTCTGAAAAATGTCCTTATCCTGGGTAAAGAGATGTCCAGACTTCTTTGAGCCGACGGAAGATCTGCCAGACTACCGTGTTTGCCATTTTTAAATTCAACTCCAACAAGTCACTGCATTTGTCCCATGAATCAGCTCTGGCTTCTGCCACTGCTTTCTCTGCCACCTTGCGCGCTTGTACATACCGAGTGCGGGTTGAAGGCTCTTTGTTTCAAAAGCATTTCTTG